TGATAATATAGATATCAAGACTTGTATGTTTTAAAAGGAGGCATTATGCTTAAGGATGTCTTCTCATAAGATAAAGTTCATGAAATATGTAAATAGTCATGTATGTAAATTGAAAATAAGATAACTGGAAGAACAAGTAATATAGAGTGCAACTAACTTGACATGTAAGAAATTATTATAAATTAACATAGAATGAAAAAAGTTTATTCACCTTTTTACTTGAGATTAATTATGAATTAAAGATGATTAGCTTCCCTTATTCGAGATTATGAGATTGGATTGCAAATGACTTTTTTATAAGGAAATTACATAGCCTAACGACCTAACAAAATAAATCATGAAATGTGACAACACTATTTAAAAGGGCTCAATGAGATATGAATTAGTTTCTTTTTTCTCCGAGAAAGGAGAAACACGAAATGAAAGAATGACAATTGGGAAATTAACCATTAAGGTAGTCGTACGGGGAGTTTTTCATTTGTGTGGTAGGACACAACACTAACAAGAGTTTGAATGCGCATGTTAGGTACATAGAGTCATGTTAGTAAATTAAGAAACAAAAAAGGCCTTTCTACGGAGGATGCTCACAGATAATTGATGAGTAATATTTGCTTTTTGTGCTTTATCTTATGCATGAGCTTATAAACTTACAAGAGAATTAATATGTGCTTTTGATTATCTTCTTTAATAAGTTAAAAACATGTGGGTGTCTACAACAATTAAATCACATTTTATTTTATTTTTTTCCTCTTGTTGCTAGGTAAAAATTGAACAGAAAGTCTATCAAAAAAAAAAAATTGAACAGAAAAGAAATTTGAGTATGTTTTCTTATTTACTTTTCTTTTTCTTATTTTTAATATTGCATTTCTAGTGCCCTTTTAGGTCGGCTAACCGTGTTATGGGGTTCGGATCCGCAACTCCATAGGCCATAGCTGCTATTTATTGACCAAATAATATAAAGTTGCACAAGTTCAATTGCATGTTAAGCTTTGAGGGAAAGTCTTAAAGAAAAATAGTAGCTGTCGAAGAATAAATTAAAGCCACAAGACATGGTTTATAATTAGCTATTTCTTTTCTACAAAAGATGTGCAAGGATTATTTTACAACGGAAAAAGGTGCAAGAATGTCTCTTGAAAATGATAGGAAATTTAAAGATTATCAAGTACTAGCACAACTTTTGCATGTTTAAGATTAGTTTTGCATGCTCTTTTGCTAAAGGTAAAAAAAAATTAGGGGATGAGCGCCGAATATAATTTTAAACTAAAGATGCTCATTACATTAAATTAGTCCTTAAAGACTAGAAACATTAAATTGGTTTTTGGAATGGATTTTGTTTTTGTTTTTCATCGCATGGTATTGATTTGATGATAGTAAATGATAATTTCAGTTTTTATGTTCAAATTATCATTTCATTTTGAAATTGGAGAGATTTAGATCGGAGAAGAAAAAAATAAAAATTTTAATAGAATTTTATAAACTTAATAAATATATAGTGATGTGATACAAAAGACAAAATATAAACCTTATTTATATTAATAGAATACTTTTAATTTTAATTAAATAATACAATGAATAATTAAATATTAAGAAATAAAAAAATTAATTTTATGAGATCGCTTAAGACACTATAAGATATTCTAAAATAAAATAAAAATATTGTGTGATCTTTTAAAAAGGTTTAATTTTTTTTTTTGCAAAATTTTTTTTTATCACATTCACATAAAAGTGAGTGGATCTTACTAATTTTTTTTCTCTCTTCTTTTTATAATGGAATTCACTTACTTTTATGTGATAGAGAAATTTTTTTGTACAGCAAAAGGAGAAATATTTTTCTTTTATAAAATATTCCAACACTAATTGATGTAATATTTTTTTGGAAAGTAAATTGATGTTCTAAATATATTTTAGAACTAAAAAAGAGGGTTTACACTGTAATTTTATGCATTAAAAACATAAGGTGAATATATTTTTATATTTAATGATGTGTCATCATTAGACCAAAATTAATTTCATATAAATCTCATTTGTAAAATTTTCCTTCTGCAAGCACGCGGGGAATAAGACCGAGCAAAAGTCGAACTTTTTTTAATCGATTTTAATTTTTAAATTCAACATTTATTGCTGAACTATGATTGCTTCCACATTCGAGGGACATTGACGATATTTACACGCTTGTTATTAAAAAATATTGGTATGTCACGTTTTAATAAAATTTTGTCAAAATGTCATGTACATCAGCGTTACGCCACTCAGCGAGAACAGATTGGACAGGTGGCAGCATCTGTATGGTCTACCATTCTTGCTGAGCAGCCTAATGAAAATGACAGGATGCTGACACGTGGCAAAAGTATAGGCATTCTCATTGAGCAGCTCAACGACAATAATAGGATGCTGACACGTGGCAAAAGTACAGGCATTCTCGTTGAGCAGCCCAGCGATATTAGTCACCTGAACAACTTCTACAAAAATTGACTGTACTTTTGTCACGTGTCAGCATCCTGTCACTTTCGCTGGGCTGCTCAGTGATAATAGTTGACCATGCAGACGCTAACATGTGTCCAGTTCATTCTCACATGATGACGTAACGAGAATGCGACGTGGTATTTTAACAAAATTTTTTTTTTCCTGATATGACAATCCTATAAAATTTTGTCTAAAAAATGACAAAATGATCATTTTGCCCACATTTGATAAGTCCACCAGTTTCATATTTCAAATACATATGATTATGAAAGCTTATTAAATATTCAGCAAACAAAAATATCTCGATCCTTACCTAAACGTCAAATATTACGTAAGCTTTTTTATTAATTATTATTAAGTGTCAAATCAGGCATCATAATTAACGGCCAAAGGGAGAAAAAATAGACTTAAAGCAGCATGATTTACCTGCTGCTTGATTTGATACTTTCTTTCTTTCTATTTTTTGGTGGAGCGATTTGATAATTTTATTTCTTTAAGAAATTATTATTCGAAGAATCACCCATTATAAAAAAGAATAATTATTAAGTTAATCTTCTTAAGGAGTACATTAGAAGTGACATATAATATGTCAATTTAAAAAGTTTTTATTGAATTTACTTAATTAAAATAAACTTACATATTTTCAAAATCAATTTATTCTTTTTTTAAAATACTTATACTTTTATTTAAAAAGGATAATATATTTTAGAATTATTACAAGTGAAGCACATCCCTTTGAAAATACCCCACGGCAGTAAACTTCTACTCTTAAAATTATTGTTAATATATAATTAAATAACCATCCATAACAGAATAATTGTCCTATTATAAATTTTGGAAAATATATATGCAAGTTAGAAATTGAAATAACTAAATAATATTTATCACATTACAAATTGAGTTAAAATTAAAACAATATGTTACACTCACTTAAAACAGAAATACATTTACTGATCTAGCTGCTTTTATGAAGAAGTTAAATGCAATTTGGTGAATGAATATGTAATTTTATTTAAGGCGGACATAACATTTAATTTTTATGGGATATGATATTATGTTTGTCTTTCTTAATATTTAATCTAGTTACTTCCCTTTAATCCTGTTAGAACACAATCTTAACTGATCTTCATTATTTCTTTTTTATTTGAATTGTGATTTAGTAGTGTTATAAAAAAATAGCATAAAAAAGATAATTACAATAGCATATATTTTTTAATATAATAATAACTCTAACGATCGAACCTATATTTAATATAAATTATATAGTAACCTTAGCACTTCACTTATAAACACTGAAAATATTATGTAATTTGATAGATTTAATATGCTCGTGTTATAGGAAATAATTTTTATCTCGTACATATATATAAAAATATATGATACTCATATTTTTTCTCTCTCTTCTTTTCATATGATTATACATGGGCTCCATATATATTTTATGGGGAAAAATATATAATGTTACTTTAGATAATTTTGTCTAATGTTTATTGAAACGACGTCGTTTTGGGGTTAAAAAAAAATTAGAATGTTACAGATTATTATAACCCTGAAATAAATTAAAATTACAAAATTACTGTGATTTTCGCCTCAAAACGACGTCGTTTTGGCGAACATTAGATAAAATTATTTAAAGTAACTTTAGAAAAAACAAACTCATATTTTATATCTGTAAGATATAATTTTATCCCGTACAACATAGAAACATCAACCCAATTTTATAGCATAAAAAGATGGGAACGGATCTACTTACCCCAAAAAAAATTTACAACTCTTACAACCAATTTAATCACCGTTGATTCCGTCAATCTAACGGTTATAATTTATTGAAAATTAATAACATTTATTGTGTCACATTTATTAATTCTCAAAAAATTATAACCGTTAGATTAATGGAAATCAAGGTGATTAAATTGGTTGTACAAGTTGTAAACTTTTTTGGTGGTAAGTGGATCTTCTCCCTAAAAAGATTGGGAAAATATACTCTTATGTTATTGGAGAGTATTTTTTTCTCCTACATATACATCAATTTCCGTATTTCTTTTTTTTCTTTTTTTTCTTTTTTATAAGTGAATAAATCCTGTACATAATTATCTCTATAGATGAAAGAGTTTCTCTCTTATTACATGATATTAATAAGGGAAATGCTTTTCTCCTTTCACACGAGACAACATTTCATTCTTACACATATATCGACTTTCGTGCCAAACTTTTGTTTTTGTTTTTACTTTTTTTTTTAAATTGCTGATCCCACTTTTTTGTCTCAGTAGGAGATAACTCTTCTCTCCTAATAAACGAGAAAAGTATTCCCCTATTAATAAAGCCAAAAAGATTTTACCTTAGGAAAAGAATCTACGAACAAGAAAGTAATAAAAAATCAACTTTATTTATATAAGTATTTCAATAAAGATCCATGCACAGTTTGTGAAGCTGCCCGAAATCCCGGCGGGCAGGTCCAAAGTCCAAGGTCAGTCCAATATTTAGATATATGATATCTATCACCTTCAAAGTTGAACCAAACACGCTTCCACGTCACCACCACCGTGGAAGATGGCTCGTGTGGTTGTTTCCGGCACGTGCTGAGTGGTGATCAAGGTGGTAGAGGAAATGGGTCAGAGGCTAAGTTGCAGGCAACGTCATGAGGACAACAAGGCTTTTTTCACTGCAGTTGCAAGTGGAGAATTAGAAGTTGTTGAGGCTATGGTTGAGGAAGACCACACTGTGTTGGAACATACCATTGGTCATGACAAGCTCTCACCACTGCATGTTGCTGCTGCCAATGGTCGAATCGAGGTTCTTCTTCTTTCTGTTCCTTAACTCATTTGATTTCAATGATGTCCTGTTCCTTTGTTTTTCTTGTTTTTGATCATGGTAGTGTTTTTTTTTCTTTTTTTTCTTATTTATCTTGGACAGGTTCTTTCCATGTTATTGGACAGGTATTTCAATGTTGACATGTTGAATCGGCATAAACAGGTGCCTTTCTTGTCTATGTTTATCTACAACTGCATTTGAACTCAAAATCTTATGTTTGTCTAGGACATACCCCTGTTTTGTTCTGTTTCTTATTTTGTTTTATGTTGATTTCTTATGGCTTTTTTGTTTTTTTTGTCTAGACCCCGTTGATGTTGGCTGTGATGCATGGAAAGACTGGTTGTGTTGAAAAGCTTATTCATGCTGGAGCCAATGTATGTTATTATGCTTTTATTTGTTCATTTCTTCAAATTGAAAGTTTTTGGGTTGGTGGTAATTATGTCAAAGTTGATCATAGTTTTCTTCTAGTTGGGATGATGATAGTGGTATGTGCTTTTAATGTTTCAGATATTGATGTTTGATTCTGTACGTCGAAGAACTTGCTTGCATTATGCTGCTTATTATGGTCATATAGATTGCCTTAAGGCTATTCTTTCTGCTGCCCATTCCACACCTGTTGCAGATTCTTGGTCAGATTCTTTGTCTCTTTTACTTACACACACACAAAGATCCCCCCACATATGGATCTGAGGACATACAAGCATGAATGGTGATGCCTAATTGTTGAAAGGAATTTTCAGGGGATTTTCAAGATTTGTCAACATAAGAGATAGAAATGGTGCCACTCCACTGCATCTTGCAGCCCGTCAAAGACGTTCTGAATGTCTTCATGCCCTTTTAGACAATGGCGCCCTTGTTTATGCTTCAACTGGGGGATACAGGTAAATTGTCTTAGAAATACACATTAGTCAGTTTTAGATGAGTTTGGGTGGTTCTTTATTCGGATTGATGAAAGCAACATGTGCAGTTACCCTGGAAGCTCACCTCTTCATATGGCTGCCCGCGGCGGTTCTTTGGACTGTATCCGGATATTGCTTGCTTGGGGAGCAGATAGGCTTCAATTGGATTCCTCTGGGTAAGTAAATGTCAATTTCAGTTTATAGAACCATTACCTGAAGAAAGGGATACGTCAATGCAAAACTTGAGTTTATACTTTAGAGACTGTTTTGACTATAAATTATGCTCGATATATCTGTATTGTATGCCTAACTATCTTAAAATAAGGTCTGGTTCACTATTTTACTTGGTTATATTAATAGAGGTAGGATCCTTTGACACCGGTGTCAAATTTCAATTTTGACACCTCATCTGAGAGCTGTTAGATAAAAAAAGATCAATGGTGTCACATGCTTGCAAATCAGAGTCGTTGATCTTTTTTGATCTAATGTATCTCAGATGAGGTGTCAAAATTGAAATTTGACACCAGTGTCAAAGGATCCTACCTCATATTAATAATATCCCTTAAATTGGGCGAGCCTGGACTAGGGGTAAAGTTATTCCTTTATGATTGAAAGATCACGGGTTCAAATAAAGGAAATAGCTTTTTTGCAAATATGCAAGGTTAAGGCTGCGTATAAGAATTATCCTCACCCGTACCCTCACTAATCAGGGTAGAAGCATTTTGTGTCTCACTGCTCACTTAATACTGTACGTTTTATATCTTAGAATTATAAGTTTATGTAGTAAATAACACTTGGAAATGTACGAAAGATCCCACCCCCCACCCCAATTGGTTAATATACTGATTAGAAAATGATTTCCTTCTTCAGCCCGTTTTTGTCCTTACCATAATTCTTACAATTTTCCTGGGTTTCGTATTCACCACAAGCAAATCTGTTAGGATCTGGCTTGAAATCTTGTTATAAATGATCCATTGCAGGAAAATACCATTCACAGTTGCCCTGAAGCACAAGCATAAGGCATGTGCTGCCCTGCTGGATCCTTCAGCAGCAGCACCGCTTGTTTGGCCATCCCCATTAAAGTTCATCAATGAGCTCAATCAGGAAGCAAAGGCCTTATTGGAAAAGGCCTTGCTAGAAGCTAACATGGAGAGGGAGAAGATCCTACTAAAAGAGGTTGACAAGCCTCCATCCCCACTGCATTCTGAAAGGGAAGATGATGATACTGCCTCTGAGGTACAACATCTTCCTTCTTGACTGCTTTAGAGTTTAGATTCTTAAGTTTTGCTTTAATACGCTTAGTTTGGTTAAAGATTGCACTATGGTAGCGGTCCAAAGAATCTTATTTGGGACACATGATAATTAGGCAATACTATTTCACCTGTAATGTAGTATTTGGAAGATTTGTCACTTGGTCCAAAGAATCCTAGAATACCTGGAATGAACTTTTCTGTCTAGAAAAGATAATTAATTATTTATTTGCTGGATGTTTCTCCTCTGATAGGCCAGCAATGTGGAGTTATGCTGTATATGCTTTGACCAAGTGTGTACAATTGAGGTCAGACCCTGTGGTCATCAAATGTGTGCTCATTGCACCCTAGCACTGTGCTGTCACAAGAAGCCTGATCCTGCTACTACTGTTTGCCTCTCTGGACCAGTTTGTCCATTTTGCCGTGGTGCCATTCTTCAATTACTGGCTGCCAAGATTAACAAAGGCAGTGATACAGAAGTGGAATCCAGCCCTGTGAAGCCAAGGAGATCGCGAAAATCAAATTTCAGTGAAGGGAGCAGCAGCTTCAAGGGCTTGTCGGCCATGGGATCATTTGGAAAGATTGCTGGCCGCAATTCAGGGAAGATTATATCTGAAAAGCAGTGAGGGGTTTGTTGAAACGTGATAATTTTTGTGGTTATTTTGCATGCAAACCAGACAAAAGACTGCTATGAATGGTGGTTTTAATTTCTGTGGAATAGCTGCCTATATTGGTATGTCATTTGAATTCACTTTATTGTTCAAAGATCACTAAGATCATGAGAGACAATAGTTTGTAATCTGAGATTCTCATTTGGTTGGACATTGTGTATTTTTTTCACCAAATATCAAATATAGTATGCATGAGAAGGTAATTTTCCTTGATGCTTTAACAATGGGAAACTTATATGGTTACACAGAGAGAGAGAGAGAGAGAGAGGTTGTATTCATTCATTACCATTGTGAGGAGAGGTTTCACTTTCATTAAAATGTTGATGTTCATTTCTTTAAGATGGACTACTTGGGTTGACATCATTTGAGCAGTTAACATCTGATGGAAAGGTGCAAATCTTAGTTATTAGTCATGACTTATCTTGATTGTTTTCGCATTAGTCTGGATTCATACTCATCCAGGAAGCTATCAACTTGTGCAATTGGAATCCTTGGTATTTCAAAGACCTTAAGCGGCTAATTTGTTTGTATTTTCAATCTAGTTGCTTAGTTGCTGCAGGAGCCTCAATAATGTTGAAGCTTGTCTTGGTATCAGTCAAGCTCCATCTGTAATACTTCCTCTTAATCGAATATTGCAATTATAACTATTATTTTTTATTTTCGATATGATGTACTTTTGCTTGACCTGAGATATGCTTACCCCTTGAAATAAAAAGGAAAAAGGATTTGGCATACTTATCATTGTTCATTGTTCATCACCTAGTATTACAGAAACAAGCAAACAAATCACTTGCATTGCATACAAAAACTTTCACAGGAGAATAGTATGTAACTCTAGTAAATTTTGTAAAGCTTCAAATTTATCGTCTGCGGCATCTGTTTATATATTTAAGTACGTGTTTGGATTAAGAGAGCTTTGAAGAAAAAAGAAGCTATTTCTCTAAAAATAAGCTGAAACTAACATGCACCAAATTAGAAAAAGAGTTGTATTCTGGTACCAAATTATTTAAAAGCTTTATTTTTTATTCCTGTCATAAAGAGCTGCAGAACATGTGGGACAGAAAAGAGTACAAAAGATAATATCCTAATGCCTTGAGTAATTACCTAACAAGAGAATCTCCTGAAACAGACAAAGAACTCCATGACCTCTGAATGAAAGATACTTGAATGAGTAATAAGGATCGTCACTCATTCAGTTATCAAGCAGATGACTGATGATCAACTTGGTTCCTAACAAATAGTGAGTTTGATTCTTGAATAGGGGAGAAACCATTAGGTCCAGAAGTAGTAGAACATTGATTCCTTCTGTAAGTACTTGCAGCTCTTTTCTCAGCTTCAAGGTATTGGCCAAGAGAGGGAGCATCATTCCTACTCACTGCATCAGTACTTACCTTTGAACAAAGTGAAAACAGCCAAGGCTTCAGCTTGTGATTCTTTTTGTTGTCCTTTGATGGTTCCATCATTCTTCCCCTGGTAGATCTCCTTGAGAGCTCTAGGAAGCTAGAAAGACCAATGAGGCTGCCAAGTGTAATGCTCTTGTCATGGAAAAATGATCCAGAGGACTAAAATCAAGCCATGTCAATTGAGTTAGGGAAAAATGGCTCATGAATACTGCTATAAGAAGTAGAATATATTCCAAATTTCAATTGACATTCATTAGCATGATTGTAGAAAACAATTTCAGTAAAGATTAAATGCCAAAAAACATCTATCGAAAATTGTTACTCGATCTTCTGTTTTGGATCTGTTTGAGTATTATTGCTCCTTTCTCACACTGTTCATGGGCTGTTTTCTACTCATTATGTATGTTTTTCCAAACCACTTTAATAGAAGACTTAACTTTCCACGAATCATGATTTGAATAGATCAAGATGAAAAACAGTATAACAACAAAATGGCAATTAAAGTAAAATCAATGTCACATTCTGTCAAGCCATGATGCTCTAGGCCATGCTCTGGACCCCATTGGAGCCAAGATATTATTGACACACCAAAGAAGCGAAGGATCCAAAAGAAAGCGACATATGGGCGTATTCACTACGTGTTGATTCAATTTTGGTCTAGACTCATTCAAAAGTTCAAAAAATCAGACAAATGAACACAAAGTACACAGTCAAAGGCTATGGTTCTAACCAGCATGAAAGAGTAAAGTATCTCAAATAAAAGACAAGCTTAATAGGAAAAGGATCAATACACCAAAAAGGGAATATTACTGTGCTCATAAGAAGTGCAACAGAGTCAGATTAACACTTGAGTGGCCATTGCAGGTTTGTGAAGCAGTCATTATTTTGTCCCAAAAAAGCTATATCAAGAAATATCCATACAAAATATTTGAGAAGCTCTCTCTTTCTGTGACTATGATCAACTTCAATAAATAATACTTAAAACAATTAAAATGGTCTCATAGTGAAAATACAAAATGGAAATAAAATAATAACAAGTTGCAAGAAAGGTCAATGCAGCTTGAGAGAGAGAGAGAGAAAAAAAGAAGAAGCACTGATTAGCATTGGTATCAAAGAAACAAATTGGTCATTAAAACACAATCTTACATTAACATTATATTAAAATAACTCCTCATCAAACCATAAACCCTAACTTATTAGGGTAGAAGTGAGAGAAATCCTTATATACAACAGTCTTATTCTTGCAATGAGTTTTACCTCTTCTCCGCACTCTTATCCCTAACCTTGCAAGTCTTTTTTTTTTTTACATTGAAAACTAAAAAAAAAAAGGGGTTTTGAGTTTTTGTTCAAAGAAAAATACGAACCTCCGTGTTAAGATCTGAGAAAGAATCAGTTGAACGAGTGGGAGAATCACTGAGCATAGTGCTGAAGGAGACTGATCCAGAAAAATCATCATTTCTCCCCAGCCCAATTCTAGAATTCAAGAATCTCAATCCCAAAGGCCACCCTTCTTCCTGCATCAACCCCAGTAGACCCACCAAAGTAGAAACAAAAATAAACAGAATCTGATAAATATGCTGCCATTAACAAAACCCTCAAAATAATTCAAAAGCTACCCACTTGATGAAAGAGGTTCAGATAACATCAATATGTGTATGCACATTGTGTGTCTGTGTGTGTGTGTGTGAGAGAGAGAGAGAGAGAAGTGAAGAATGAAGATGGTACCTGTTGAGCCATTACTGTATTTGCTGAATGTAGAAGTGAATGACACTGAAATAAAATACTAAGAAATTGTCCTGAGAAGTCACTTCAGACAAACAAGCATCATCTTCACACTGTGTACCCTCTGACCAAAGAAACACCAGAAAAAGAAGTTGAATTTAACTGCTACATAAACAACAAAACAAAGGGTATCTATCAACATTCAACAACAGTGGTGTAAATTTGACATTTAAGCATATGATAGAAAAGACATCCACGTAAGAAGAGCTTGTTTGGTTCCAAACCAAAGCAGTTTAACCACATTCACATTGTTGGCTCTGAAGTCACAAATCAGACATAGATAGAGAGGGTGATGTGAGAGTGACTTGTTACCAGTGAGTGAGTTTCTCTGGTTTGTTTGGGAAACACAGCATAGAAGATGATGGAAGCAGAAGCAACTGAGAAGAAGAATTTTGCTACAAGATAACAGAGTTTGTGAGGGTCAAAAGATGGCAACTTAAATGGAAAGGGTAACAGCAAGTCAGAATAATTAATTAACCAAAAAAAAAAAAAAACACTACTGCTATAATGACTTGAATAGCCTCTTCTTAACACTCCCGGTAAAATCTTGTGTTATTTTATTATCTAAAATACGAGGAGATTACCTTTATAACTTTTTTTTGTTTAAACTCTTATAACTTCAATTATGTTCTTCAGGAGTACAGTATAACTTTTTTTTGTTTACAACTCTTACAACATCAACAATGTTATCCCCCAAAAGAACATAGTTAAGTTTGCAAGAGTTGTAAAAAAAAAAAAATTGTAAATCTAACCTGCCACTAAAATTATACCTGTAATTAAAGAGAATTTTAATGCATATATGTACGCACACAATTAACTTAATCGAACCACTCAAATGACATTATTCTTATGTTTATGGTATGTGCATATATGAGAGTTGTATAAATAATAATGTTTAATAAATGCATATAATGGCATCAAAAGAAGTACAATTGTTAGGAAGAGTAGACAAAGGCTTTCTTAAAGGCTCAATGTGGGAGAAGGGGAGAGGAGTGTAATTATATAATTGTATAAATAATGTTATTTTAACCGTTAATTATAACAAATCAGTGGTCTCGAATTCGAGTCATGCACGCAACTGTATTAAAAACTTGATTGAAAAATGTTTGTTGCTCTTATGGTCTAACATGACTCGATCAGATTAAAAACTTGAACCGGTAGATAAATCTCCAAAAATCTTTAAAACAACCAAACACGTAGATCAATTGACACGGTGTTATTTCATTTTAATTAATGATTTCGAATTTAAGTCATGAGTACGTAGTTGGGAAAATTCTATTGCCCTTGTGATCTTGCCAACTCGCGGAATTAATAAATTAATTGGTTAATTGGTGGAGAAATTAAAAAAAAATTATAAGAATAACTAATATTGGGAAGAACTTAGCCTTCTGTAGGGGCTCACTGTGGGAGAATAAGAGAAGGGGCTTGATCTATCTACAAGTCAACGACTTTGACTTAAAAGAATTGATTTTAAGTTCCCATCATCCCTCCATGGAAGGAAAACCACTATTTTCGAATTTCCATAAGTTATGTATTCAAATAGTAATAGTAATTATCATTTTAAAGAAAGAAAGCAATGATATGTCAGGTAGGGGTCTTATTTCCTTGTCATAAGATATTTAATAAAGGGAAAACTTTACACTTGCAATGTTATTGTCACTTTGCCATGCGTAACAAAACTACACATAAGTTATAATATCACTACTCAAAAATTGACAGGTGATGCATCTCTAATTTTTTGGTTTTTACGGGATAAGAACATTTTAAATACGTAACTATATGGGAAATAATACTCTCATGCCACATGAGAGTACATCATTTTCCTACACAAATTCGTTTTCCGTGCCAATTAATTTTTCTTTTCTTTTTTAAAATAAAATATGGGACCCACATTTAACTTCTCTCTACTTTTTTTCTCTCCTACAATCTTACAACATAAGAAAACTTAAACCCTAACTATATATACTGAACGAATAACTAGCCATATAAAATGAGTATTCAATTCGATATTAAATTGAATAAAATAAAGTAAAAATTCTACATGGTTACTAATAGGGGTGTTAACGGGCCGAGCCGAGCTTTGGTCTTAAAAGGCTAAGCTTGTGTTTAAATGTGTCAGCCTGACCTAGCATGTTACCTGTTATGAATATAATTATCGGCATGTGAGATGACTTATTTACAAAAAAACTAAAAGCCTGGTTTAGCCTGTTTAAAAAAAATAAAACAACAAAAATTTATCCAAACAGAATATACAATCAAAAACACTAGTAATTCCATAAATATTCATAAATTCAATGTATATCCAAACAGCATAATATATAACAAAATTATTCAAAAAGTCTATTTAACCAATAAAATGGGATTAAATGGATTGAGGAGAGAGAGGGGGCTATTACAAATAGTATAAAAAATATAAAATAAAACAAAAAATTAATATATTAGGTTAGCCTGAGAGGTTCCAAGGCCGAGCTTTTGAATTGGAGCCTGAGACCTTTTTATTACACGAACTTTTATACAAGTCCAAGCCTGGTTTCAATAACTAATTTCAGACATGTAAGTTCAGGCCTTCACGAGCCGAGACAAAGACCCCAAGGCCATAGTTTGTTTAGCACCCCTAATTACTAAATATCTTATTATACTTACAATAATAAAAAGTTCTGAAAATGGACCATGTTTACTAGCCTTACAAGACATTGATTAAACTATGGGTAAATAAATAAATAAAGGTGCTGTTTTCAAGGTCTGAAAATGAAAAAAGAAAAAGAAAAGAAATACTTTTGTTATGGAGAGGTTTGTGCTTCGAGGGAACCTTCTCCTTTTTGGTCCACAAGCATTGGTCAATTCCTCGTAATTGAGTCCAAGCAATAACATCCCAAAGCTTCAAATACTTGAACCAAAAAAATAATGACCATGTTTGGCAATGTCCCCACTCCATCATAAAATCAAAAGTGAAATTGTAAAACAATTTGAGACAGTTCCACCTTAGACGAGTCTCTATCATTGTCCTAAAAACATGTCCATTCCAATGACATGAACATCAAAGTAGCAAATATTATTTATTCATTACAAGAAGCAAACAATCATGTGCATATAGATAGATACAACTACCGGGTGTGTCAAAATAAGTATACAACAAGTTAATGTGGTAGACCTGCATGACACTTATAGCTGAGCTTATATCCTTGCATCGTTATCCTTGGATGCAATTAGACTTTGCTGAGACGCAGAGAAAGATGAACTGGATGTTGTATTGATACTGACACGAGATACAAGACATGATATAATACGACACTTCGATAAGTTAATTTTAAAAAATATTAAATTTTGACGCATTTTGATATTAAATAATATTTTTAATTTATGTAGTGTATTTAATATTCAATAATTAAACAAAAAAATGAAACTAAGCTTATAATACCCATCAATTTTACAAAAAAAATAAAATATCCCAAATATTTATATTAAACTCAATAAAATGGTAATCATAATCCAACGAATCTAATAGTTAAAACTAAAAACGCAACGCAACGTAACATTTGAACCCTTTCCTGAGTTTTTGCAATGCATGTTGGAGTGTCAGAGTATCGTGAGTGTCGGAAAGTGTCGAACACGACATGTTAAATTTTTTGAAGTGTCGGTGCATCATAAGTGGCAATGGGGACCAAATTGGAAACATATAAGAAGATCCATGATTTTTTTATTTTTTTTTTAATGTTTCATAGATAAATTTTATTTCTTACATATACATAAAAAGTGTGTGGGGCTCGTATGAGGAGAATAGAGAGAAAGAAAAAATATAAGTCTCACACACTTTTATATATGTATAGAAAATAAATTATCTCCCACAACATAAAAAAAACAATAAACTCTTATCTCTCTCTTTTTTCATTAAGAAATCATATTGTCGACTGTTTACTTTATTGGGTCCAGAATGAATAATCCTTTATCATTGTTTTTTATTGAATATAGTGTTCAAATATAATATCATCTAACCATACATAAACATATAATTAAGTAAATTTGATTGTCACAACTATTTGCAAAATTATTTTTTTAATGAAGTGTCAGTGTATAATTTGATATTGATATAAAAACTGTACACAGATGCCTTTATATAGTGGTTGACACGATACAACTCTATTTAATTGCTTTTACATTACCAGCTCAAGTGTTCATTCCACAACAAAAGGCCATGAAGACCAAAACAATTTTCGTCACGGATAATAAGATACAATCTCTTTTTTATATTTTTTTTCAAGAAAATAAAATATTCTGGCTACTTCTTATTTGTCACATTTGGCTAACGAATATGTTCGAATTTCTTGTGTGGTTCTTATTTCTATATTTCTATATTTCTTTATTGGAAAAAATGTGTATAATTTTGAAGGAGGTAAAGTTGTGTCATTTTAAGAGAGAGAAAGAGATAGATAAAGGAGGAAAGAAGGTTGACAAAAAAAAAATAAAGTTGTAGGTCTCACTTTTTTGTGAGAGTGAAATGATGTAAGTTGTGTAATTTAAAAGTATAGACACTTTTCCCTTCTTTATTATGCCTTACCCCAAGTAATCAGCCATGGATCCTCTTATAAGACCAGGATATCTGTATCTTAGATTGATTACAAGGTTTGGGGACTCTGAACACTAAAAATTTATGGAGGAGGGTGGCTTTGCTGGTCACGAATTAGAGGCTGGCATGGTACATTGATTAATTACTAAGAATTTAGGGCATTACTCCACCACCCATATTTATTTCTTATGCAGGGCATTCATCAAGCATTTTATTCACCGCTAACTATATTTAATAGGTTTTTAAACATTATATTATAAAAAATAACATTCAATAAATGCTTGATAACTTCCTTGAGTACCACACCATAGCATCTACCCGGTGTTTATGATGAAGTTGACAAGTATATTCATTAAGGATATTCATTAATAGTTCAGACTTTATAAAAATAGCCCTAAGATCTTGCACAAGCTGCAAAACAGCCTTCATTAAAAGAACACAAGACAGTAAGTCACATGACCATTGGAGGAAGCTGCATAACATGTTGAGTTAATCTTTTGACTAATTTTACAAATCTAAAGATCAAAATTCATTTCTCACATAAGATTAATTTGCTCAATAGATTTCATATTATGAATGCAAGATAGAGAATGTTCTAATGGCCATCAAGTGTTGCCAGACACTCGTTAAGGAGTCTTCGTGCCTCTTCTCTCCTGGAAAAAAAAAAGTAGGTTTGAATTGAAAAGACTAATGACAATAACATAACAAAATTTCATACTAATCATGTACTAGTATTTATACAAGAAGCAATATTTGACCAATTTTACCAGGGCAAAACTAGATAAACAAGGGAAACAATATGTTACGGAATATTTCCATATCCTAACCACCTACCCAAGGATCCCTTAAAGGATAATTACCCAATTATCCTAACAATATAAAACAGTATGGCTACTAAGGATAGAGTCTCTATCCCAACAAAAAGGAAGTTGAATCCTACTACAACTGGGAGATCTACACAAGCCCAAGAAGTAATCTTTATAAATAAGAGGTTAAAGACCCTAGGTACATACTTCTGACCTATTTACTATTGCTGCCAACACTGTGTACACACCCACGTCTTGGCTATAAGCCTATTGCTTGTGCACAGTGATTGGAGTATTGGCTATAAGCCAGTATAGATACATATCCCTAGCGTATCTCTGAGCGCATACCATACTGTATAGCAATATGGTTCTCTAGGACCGAACATTGGCGTCGTCTGTGGGGATCGACAAATTTTGACTCCCATCCATGGTGAACACGCGCAACATAGCACGAAGCCACATATTGCAGGCTACCTCGCGGGACCTGAAATTGCTGAAACCACATATATATGAGGAGACAAACCCTACCGCAAAAAGGGCTTTTGATCCTCCAAGAGACTCTAAAACGAAGCTCTAGATCCAAGCAGATGAAGATTTGACAAAGATTCTCGTCGTGGCAATTCTTGATGGAGCAAGTAAAGACCTGGAGGTCATTAAATCATAAGGAAAAAGCTTCAATCCAAAAGAGGGCTTAAAATTTAAAAGCTCGGCCTCGGCCTTGAGCTCCAACTCAGCCCAACCAAGGGCTTCAAGATTAAAAGCTCGGCATCAGCCTTGAGCTTCATCTCAGCCCAACAAAGGGCTTCAAATTTATTAGTTCGGCCTCGACCTTGAGCTCAGCCCAACGAAGGGCTTCAAGTTTAAAAGCTCGGCATCATCCATGAGCTTCAACTCAGCCCAGTTAAGGGCTTCACATTTATTAGCTCGGCCTCGACCTTGAACTCAGCCAGCAAAGGGCTTCAAGTTTAAAAGCTCGGCATCAGCCTTGAGCTTCATCTCAGCCCAACTAAGGGCTTCAAATTTATTAGCTCGACCTCGGCCTTGAGCTCAGCCCAACGAAAGGCTTCAAGTTTAAAAGCTCGGCATCAGCCTTGAGCTTCAACTCAGCCCAGTTAAGGGCTTCAGATTTATTAGCGCGGCCTCGGCCTTGAGCTCAGCCCAACGAAGGGCTTCAAGTTTAAAAGCTCGGCATCAATCTTGAGCTTCATCTGAGCCCAGCTAAGGGCTTTAAGTTTATTAGCTCGACCCCAACCTTGAGCTCAACCCAATGAAGGGCTTCAAGTTTAAAAGCTCGACATCAACCTTGAGCTTCAGCACAGCCCAATTAAGGGCTTCAAATTTATTAGCTCAGCCTCGGCCTTGAGTTCAGCCCAACGAAGGGCTTCAAAATTAAAGCTCGGCCTCAGCCTTGAGCTTCAACTCAGCCCAGTGAAGGGCTTCAAATTATTAGCTCGACCTCGGCCTTGAGCTCAGCCCAACGTAGAGCTTCAAGTTTAATAGCTCAGCCTCGGCCTTCAGCTCCAACTCAGCCCAGTGAAGGGCTGCAAGATTAAAAGCTAGGTATCAGCCTTGAGCTTCAACTCAGCCCAGTTAAGAGCTTCAGATTTATTAGCGCGGCCTCGGCCTTGAGCTCAGCCCAACGAAGGGCTTCAAGTTTAAAAGCTCGGCATCAATCTTGAGCTTCATCTGAGCCCGGCTAAGGGTTTTAAGTTTATTAGCTCGGCCCCGACCTTGAGCTCAGCCCAACGAAGGGCTTCAAGTTTAAAAGTTCAGCCTCAGCCTTGAGCTTCAACTCAGGCCAATTAAGGGCTTCAAATTTATTAACTCGACCTTGAGCTCAGTCCAACGAAGGGCTTCAAGATTAAATGCTCGGCCTCGGCCTTGAGCTCAGCCCAACGAAGTGCCTCAAGTTTAAAAGCTCGGCATCAACCTTGAGCTTCAACTCGGCCTTAGCCTAGAGCTTCAATTCAGCCCAACTAAGGCTTTAAGTTTAATAGCTCAGCCTCGACCTTGAGCTCCAACTCAGCCCAGTGAAGGGCTTCAAGATTAAAGCTCGGCCTCAGCCTTGAGCTTCAACTCAGCCCAGTAAAGGGCTTAATGATTATCAACTCAGCCCAATGAAGGGCTTAAAGTTTAAAAGCTCGGCTTCAGCCTTGAGCTTCATCTCAGCCCAGCTAAGGGCTTAAAGTTTAAAAGCTCACCCTTAGCCTAGAGCTTCAACTCAACCCAACAAAGGGTTTCAAGTTTAATAGCTCGGCTTCGACCTTGAGCTTAGACCAGCTAAAGGCTTTAAATTTACTATCTTGGCCTCAGCATTGAGCTCATCCACACAAAGGGATTTAAGATTAAAGCTCAGCTTCGGCCATGAGCTCCAACTCAGCCCAACCAAGGGCTTCAAGATTAAAGCTTGACCTCGACCTTGAGCTTCAACACAGCCTTAGTCATAGCTTCGGGCTCCGAGATCAAAATGAAGACGGAATTGGAGAGATGTGATCATAGCAGAAGGATCACACTCCAATCTGCGATAAAAATGAAGACGAAATTGGAGAGATGTGATCCTAGCAAAAAGATCCCACCCCGATTCGAAAAAAGAAGAAAATGGATTTGGAGAGATGTGATTCTAGCAAAAAGAATGACACCCCAATCCGAGAAGATGAATTTGGGGAGATCGTGATCTTAGAAAAGGAACACATCCCAATTTGAGATAAAAGAAAAATCGAGGCGACATATGATGTCGGACTCCTATTCAAGATTTTGGCAACAAAGCCAAATGACAAAGTTTGCAGCCCAACAGGCCAGCCTCAAATTAAAAATCCATCACTAATGAAGCGTTGCTCAAAGTAGAAAGCCAGGGTATGCGAAGCCGGGCTCAAACAAAATATAGCAAAAAGTCTAGTCCAACAGTAAAGCCGTGGTACGTTAAGCCGGGCTAAAATCAGAAAGGCAAAGATACCGCCTTCAAAAGTGTAGACAAGGCAAAAGCCAAGTCAATTTAAAGAAAGCCACGATATGTGAAGTTGGGCTGAAAATGAAGAAGGCAGAAAACTGCCCTAGTAACTTAAGACTACAACAACAAAGCCAAGTCGTAAAGGTTTTAGCCACAAAAGCCTAACAGGCTAGCCTCAAATTAAAAAGCCATCGCGAATGAAGCGGGGCTCAAAATAAAAGGAACAATATACATATTCGGGCTTAAAATCGAGGAGGCGAACTCCTCCTTCAAGAATCTAAGACTATGGCAAAAGAAGCCAAGTCCGTCAAAAATAAGAGAAGTCATGGTATTCGAAGTCGGACTAATCGTTGAAGAAGGCACGGAAGACCTTCCCAAAATTAAGACATAGGCAGCAAGCCAAATCTAAAAAGGGGAAGTTGCAGTAAGAAAAGTCGTGCTCCCTAAAGTACAATACATCTTTGCAAAAGGTCAAATCCATGCTAATAGAGATCTCGGTATGCGAAATCGAGCCAAATCTAAAACCACGACATTTAAAGCCAGTAAGTGCAAACTTGGGTTAATTATTAAGGAGGCACGAAATGCCGTCCTAAAACTTAAGCGAACGCCTATATAAAAGACTGACAATAAGCCTAGTCAAAACTAAAGAGCCTCGGCAAGAGAAGCCGAGCTCAAAGTCAAAAAGAGGCAAACACCGTCTCACCATTCAGAGACTTCAAGAGAAAAGAAGCCAATATAAAAAGCCACAAACCAAGAAGAGGTAGTCGCACCAGGCCCAAGGCAGGATCATAGTACTTCGGTACGGTCGACCTATCAATCAGACTTAGGCACCCCAGCAGTCCGAGCTTCCGAACTGTCGGGCTGGGGGCAACTGTTATGGAATATTTTCATATCCTAACCACTTATCCAAGAATCCCTTAAAGGATAATTACTCAATTATCCTAACAATATAAAACAGTAAGGCTGCTAAGGATAGAGTCCCTATTCCAACAAAAAGGAAGTTGAATCCTACTACAACTGAGAGATCTACACAAGCCCAAGAAGTAATCCTTATAAATAAAGAGGTTAAAGACCCCAGGTACATACTTCTGACATATTTACTATTGCTGCCAACACTGTGCACACACTCACGTCTTGGTTATAAGCCTATTACTTGTGCGCAGTGATTGGAGTATTGGTTATAAGCCAATATGGATACCTATCCCTAGGGTATCTCTGAGCGCATACGATACGATATAGCAATACGGTTCTCTAGGACCGAACACAATAGTTGATAACTCTGAAACACTACCAAAAGCCAGAAACACAAGTACACTACCTTATAAATATTAGGAAATCATGCTTCACCCATTTAAGAATTTGCCCCCGTCAACTTTAGTGCACCAACTATAAAGCTTACAATTTAGAACAATTAAGTTTCAAAAGCATTAGAGTCATTTTTGCATCTACTGCACACAGAATTCACCAAGACACATTCAGAATTGTCTTCTAAGTTCTAAACTTTAAAAGTAGAAGAGTTATGAAAAAGGAAAATGTGAGATGTTACGAATTCTGGTTGTCAGAGTAGAAAATGGAACATTGAAAATGATTATCTACTTTGTTGGAAAAATTTTGGCAAACGAAATCATCACAGGAATAGCAGATGAGGTCTCCATGGTCAGTTTTAACTACATTATTAACAATTCCAGCATTTTTTTAATCTTCCAAGGGTTCAAGAAGGTAAAGTGTTTGTTGTTGAAACACGAAAAGGATACAATGGGATGTTGTAAACTTAGTATATTAAAATTAATTTGAGCATAAAACTTTAGAAAGGCAAAGTGTAATTAACTCTTACAATATAAAATACTCTAGTAAGCAGGTATGGGTGTATGCACTATGCATAGGTTGGAGGGCTCTGTCACAAATTATGGGCTATTTGTAAGGAGTTACATATGTTATCAAAGAAAATCAATCTATTTACTGGGCTTCCTTCCATAAATAAAAAAAGAAGCAGTTAATTTTAGATTTATGATGAAATGTATTCTATTTTAGTAACTTCTAACGCAGGTCATAGTAGTTCTGTGCAAGAAAGGGGAAAAAGAATATTTATGTCGACTGTCAAGGTGGTGGGTACAACCAGAAGGAAAGAACTAATTTGAGGATTGAGTACAACTATGAATATCACAAGTATTATATTTCATGAACTAAATGAAGGGCTCGGACAATTATATCACTATACACTTTGATAATAGTAAGCATGATAAAAATCAGAAACCAACAAAATTGTTAAAGGCTCTCAAATTATAGAACAAGACATTTCACTGTGCTCGTACCAAAGCAAAAGATTCCTAAGGGTTCCAATAAAATTTAGAAAAACATCATGAAATGTAAAATATACCTCTTTATGTCCTCCACTGCTTGTTTACGGCGCTGTATCTGAAGTTCCAAAATGTGAATTAATGTTGCTCTTGCCTACCAGAGTAAATAAATAATATAATTAAGACTCCAGAAAAAGGAAAAATAACAGCAGCATGCCAGTCGAAGGCAAGTACATATACTTATGGTCGTATAGAAGATTGTATACCTGATGAGGACGTAGTGAATTTAAAAGGTGATGTAAGTTTTTGAATACAGTTGAAATTTCTTCGACTCTCCTAGCATACTGTGAAGGTCTCTCAATAAGAATATCAGCAAGCTCCAGAATATGTAGTTGCAAGTCTCCATTAAGTGACCTCAGCTCCTTTTTGAAATCTATAGAAGATTAGAATCTTTTACTATGAAATGGAAGATAAAAATCAGCTCCATTAAGTGTAGCTGCAAATCTTGCTGGCGTAACTTATAATGAAAGAGATATGAACCCTTACTCCCTTTAAAATCACACAATGACATGGATTTAAGTTGTAGGTATCATTCTGGAGTAGTGATCAATTAAGCACAAAAATCAATCCACTTAGTTGTGATAAACAAGATCACAAGCAGTAGCTCAACTAGTCATATATCTGCACTGGCCTATGAAGTAGGAGACTCATTACCCAATTTCAAAACCTGGTGTGTGCAAAGTTGTAATTGATATTGAGCCTGATCTATGTTAGTGTCTTAGTTATTCCACTTTGATAGTGAAATTACATGCGAAGGTGATTTAGTATCTAATAATAAGATACCAATAATTGATGTAAACGTGATTTAGTATCTAATAACATAACATTATAATGTATATCCTACTTGACGCAACAAAAAGTTGATAAACAAGCAAAAAGTGAGTCATCTACAATTCTACATTACTAACCAAGCAATCAGCAGAAGCATTCAGAGGTTAAGGCATAGTTAATAACGACACCAGCCCAAATGAAGCAAGAAACAAAATTCACATCTTCACTTTTCTTTTCGGAAAGATAACTAACAGTGTCTGGTTTAGTAATAAACCAACCATTGATCACCTTGAGTAATCGCTATCACAAATTTGATGTTCCATATATCACTTATGAGATAAAATATAAACATACCCCTTCAAAGTTTGGAGAGAAAGATAAAAAAAAGTTCATTACTAGAATTAACACGTCAAGACCAAAAATCCCCTACAGCAACGAGTGAGAAGCAAGAGGACAATGAAACTTTGTACCCAGCTAAAAAAATTTCTAGGTGACACCATTTAGTGACTTTGTCACCAATAAAGTACTTCCTCATACATAGTGCAATCAGACTAATGTTACCTAAAAGATCGAGCCCACAAGTAACTCTAGACTATACAACCACCTCCTAGGTTACAATGCTGATTATATCAAGAATCACTATCAAATGAAAATGTGAAAGATAAATCGAGCGATATTAATTAAAAGAAGCATTTATGAGACAGAAAGTAAAAAGAAGACCGCCCCAAGACAACATACCAACAAATTAAGGATAGTAGTGAAATATATAATAGAAAACTAAAACTATTTGTAACAACTTATAAGGTCATTTCGTAACATTATCAAATCAAACTGAGCATCAATAGAGCTGAAAATAGCCCTACCAACATTAGGCCCCCTAGAATAGAGCTGGCGCACCCCTTGTTCTTCCAAGCTCGGTAGAATGGCACTAGTCTATGTAAAAAGTAAGCAAAGAAAAAAAATATTAATAACATGTTATCATGACATAGAGATCCCAGCATAAAAACACAAATACATAAATAAAGACTTCTTGCAAACTGCATCTCAAACCTACAAGAAGAAACCCTGTTTTACAAGCCTAACGTCAACCACTCACTAATTCCTAGTTTTAAAGTGCCCACTTAAGGAAATAAAGCGTTTAAATCATTAGAAATAGCTAAAAAAAAGAGAATAAAAATGCAAGCTAATAAAAAATAATCCTATGTGAAAGTGAGGGTGGGTTTCCTAGAATCCCATATTTGATAGCACATTGGAGAAAAAATTTATGGGACAGTTATTTTCCCAGGATTCTATTTTGTGTGTATTTTCTAAACCAAAATGCTACTAAAAAATACCATCCAGGTGGTATTTTGAGAAAATATGAATTAATTGTTTAGAAAAAAATAATTAAACGAAGTATTAGGAAAATTAATCCAACATTTCCGGAAACATTTTGAACTACCAAGTAACTTTTTGATAACATTATCGAAAAACTTACTTTCCTATCATATTTCCGAGAATCGTGATTTCCGGATAAAAAAATTTCTTCTCCACCAAATGTCTCCAAAGTAACAATAAACAATAATTTCAGACTAAATTAACCTTAATGAATAGTTAAAATTTCATTCTGCATAAGCGCCTCTTAAAACACTGAGATCAAATAAGTACTTATTATGCATAAGCTGTTTTATCCAAACAGGAAATTAGGGTCATAATACAACTTTCAAGGGATCAAAATTGAAGAGGGTAAAAATCCTTACAGTGTAATTGCATCCAAAACAAACGTAAGTTCCTTCAATAGGTGGTGGAGGCTCCGGAGCAGACTTAAGATCTTGCAAGTAATCTTTGTAGAGTCTGCAATAAGGTGGGGGTGGTGGATATGTTGCCGTTGCCATAAAAAACTAATCTTTTAATCAAAAACTCTCAAAGATCATACATACATGCATCTCAACTTCAAATTCTGCATAATTAAATTAAAAAATATATATACATGAAGAAACGTGGAAATTAAATTTAATACAAATTATAAAAAAGAGATGCAACTGAACCATAACAGGAAGGGGAACTGTGTCGAGAGCTTAAATTGAAACCAAGTTCAGCATTCGCAGTGATGAAATGGTAAGAAAAAAAACCCATTTTTTTTTTTTTAGTATTCAAAATAACCCATTTTTGAACCTCAGAATAACAACATTCAGAGAAAGAAACAAACGCAGCGTTTTACCCGAGAGTGGAACTGCCCAGAGACTGCGTGAGAACAATCTCGCTGATTCTTATTCCTTTTCGGATATCTTGTTTGGTTTGAACATTTGATTTAGAGTAAATACCTTTTTAATCCCTCGCAACTATGATGTACGGACACAAGACACGAGACATGACGCGCTGACACGTTAATTCTAAAAATGACATATTTCGATACGTTGGGATATGTTTTGATATTGAATAATATTTTTAATATATATAATATAATTTATATTTAATAGATATAATAGTCCATAATAAGTCATATAACCAATCAAATATTCAAATTTCATAACATAAATATAAACAAAAATAATTTTTCGTACCTTGTTAATTTTTCATGTCAAATTTCATAACAGAAAAAAATTGATTTATAAATGATTTTTTTGTTTAGTTAATAAAATAAAATTAAGACTAAAAAAAAACGTGTCCGAGCATTGACCACGTGTCAGAAAAAATTCACTGCGTGTCGGAAGAACGTGTGGGAGAGTTGACCACGTGCCGTAAAATGTTGACCGCGTGTCGGAACGTGTCGGAGCGTGTCCGTGTCGGACACGTATCCTACACGCCCTTTTTTCTAAAAATTTGCGTGTCAGGGTATTGGAGCCTGGCAATATGCACGAAGCCCTTTTTCGTCCCTAGCAATAAAAAGGGACAAATTGGTCCCTTAAATAACAAAAAAGCGGTCACGTTCATCCTTCTGTTAAATCCCCCCAACGGCCCAACTAACGGTGCACAGTTGGCACGTTAGTTTGCTGACGCGGATTGGATGTGGGCCACCGTGGATGACGAGACGATGACGTTTTGATAATGGTATGCATCTCCATGGTCGTGTTGCAACTCCAACGCCTTGTGGTAAATTGGGAACCCTAAATCCCCCAAATGAACCCTAAACAGAAAAATCTCTCAAATTCTCCGGACATTGATGACTGAAAATCGACGACAGTAGAAGACCTCTACTGGATTTGCTGGGGCGTAGGAGAAGATGAGTCTTTCTTCTGGCATGGGGGATCAAGTGGTAGTACTTCAATAGGGGGAGAACACTGACAAGGACTGCCGGTCGTAGGTGCAAACGGGGGAGACAAAGTATCGTCTATACCTCCAAAACTGAGAGAAACCCAAACAGGGCTTTCTTTGGGTGTCCTAATTTCAAGGTATACATGTGTAATGTGAAGGTAATTAAGTTGAAACACTTGCTCATCGTGGTTTGTTATTTTGGTAGGAGAAGAAGTCGTTTTGTGATTTTTTTATATGGGTAGATGACGTCTGTAATGAACGGATGGAGCTGGAAGATGGAAGAATACACAATGTGAAGTTGGATGTTGCTTAAATTAATTTCAAGTTGAAGTATATAGACATGATGATGAGTGAGCAATTGCAAGCTAAGCTGAATGACCAAGGTGTGAAGATTAGTGAGCAAGAACTGAAGCTTAATGAGCAGGAAAGAAAGCTGAATGAGCTATACCTGAAGATGGTGGAGGAGTTAGATAGGATGGACAAGGAAATTAGGCATGTTGATAGGTCAACTAGGGTCTTAATTGTTGCTTGTGTAGGGGTGATCATCATGTGTATTTTTGTTGTTATTGTGGTAACAGCCAAAACAAGTGACCCCAATGTATTTTTCCTTCAATGAAGTGTAATGAGTACTCAGTACTCTTGTTATCCAAATTAATGAAGAAGCTTTTATTATATGGCCTATTATGTGTTGATTTGAATCTTTCTGCATCATATGCATCATATATTTGTGTATCCAATGCCATGTCAATGCTATTATTGTTGTAGTAGGGTATACTGCATACTTAGGCATGGAATGAATGTGTCAGTTTGCTGCATTGCATCACAAACCACAATGTACATATATATATATGCCTAAATCAAGAAATTGTTGTAACAGAAGTTCCCTGTTGGACTGGATATTTGTTAATCATGTCAAAACCACGAGGGCCATTTTGGTCCCTGTCAAAATGCACGAGGACCTCTTTGGTCCCTGACAAAAACCCCAGGGCCCTTATTTGTCCCTAATCAAAGAAAAATAGGCACATGACTTCCAAGGATTTCTATGCAGTCCAATTTTGTAAAACCATTGCAATACGAATCTACAACAGGAACATGACAGCAGAGGATTTTATGCAGTCCAATTTGTTAAACCAGAAGACATGGATGTACAACAACCACAACTACATATATTAGTTAAAAAACATCAGAAATGGTAAACTTAAACATTCATCAACCCTGTGAAACATCATAGTTGGAACATGATATGAGTATCATTATATTTGAAGACATGGATGTACAATAGTGCATTACAAAATAAAGCCAACTGTCAGAAATTAAAAGAAAGACCTCTAATACAAAATGGCATTTGAATCACTGTTGAGTACAATTCAAAAGGGTACAACAAACTATTCCCAAAAAAACATTGACATAACAAGGCCTCCAAATACATAATGGCCAGAATTTACAAAAAAAGTCAGTCAAATAATAATACACCCTTCTCAGTTGGCTCATGCACTACTCTCAAGTCATATACAGCAGCAGCTCATTTTCTTGAGGCAGGCCTTGGTGGCCTAAAACCAGGTGTGCTCATGAAGGCCAATAATCTGCTTCGTGTGCCACAGGTTGCTGCATTCATTGTTTTATTACTCAACAATTCATTTGCCTGTTGTGGGTTTGATGGAGGTGGGCTGCTGCATTCATTGTTTCATTACTCAACAATTCATTTGCCTGTTGTGGATTTGATGGAGGTGGGCTGCTTCCTCTCAAGTTGCCCTTATGTGGCTGAGAACTACCAAAATAACAAACCATGAAATGAGGAATGGTTCTCTAAGGTAGTTGTAAACACTGATAAACAAGTTGTCATTTGTAACAATTTGAGGACCCGAGAACTGCCCATTAATCATGATCCCCTGCAAAATTGAAACGAAGAACCACATTGAACTCAAACATCTTCAAGTGATGAACCTATATGGGTCTTCACAGTTGACGGAAGTAAGAAGGAATGTGACAAGAAGAATGAAAGAAGAGAGAACATCCCATGGTCTCATTTTGCATACACTCACTTCAAAACACCAAAAAGGAAGAGTGTCAACTTATTGCTTGCTTATAATGTGAAGCTCTATATGATAGATCTGTTCATTGTTGTAAAACAAAGATAACAAACCATAAGAAAGCCCTGAGAACCATACTTCTCCTGCCAAAATAACAAACCACGATACTCAAGTGTTTCAACTTAATTACCTTCACATTACACATGTATACCTTGAAATTAGGGCACCCAAATAAAGCCATGTTTGGGTTTTTCTCAGTTTTAGAGGTATAGACGATACTTTTCTCCCACATTTGCACCTACGACCGACAGTCCTTGTCAGTGTTCTTCCCCCTATTGAAGTAATCTCATTTGATCCCCCCATGCCAGAAAAAAGACTCATACTCTCCTATGCCCCAACAAATTCGATAGAGGTATTCTACTGTCGTCGATTTTCAGTCATCCACGTTCGAAGAATTTGGGGGATTTTTCTGTTTAGGGTTCATTTGAGTAATTTGGGGGATTTAGGGTTCCCAATTTACCCCAAGGCGTTGGAGTTGCAACACGACCATGGAGATGCATGCCATTATCTAAACGTCATCGTCTCGTCTTCCACGGTGGATCACATCCAATCCGCGTCAGCAAACTAACGTGCCAACTGTGCACCGTTAGTTGGGCCGTTGGGGAGGATTTAACAGAAGGATGAACATGGCCTCTTTTTTGTTATTTAAGGGACCAATTTGTCCCTTTTTTTAATTGCTAGGGATGAAAAAGGACTTTGTGGATATTGCCAGAGACTAAAAAAAGTATTTACTCTTTGATTTATGATGTGCTTTTAGGTTTTAGGAGAAATTATTTTTTATATGAAAATCGTGATTTTCAGTGGGAATGTGAGTTTTTCGGAAATGGTACAAAAATATTATTTGCTAGGCTAAAATGGGAATGTTGGCTTTTAGTGTATTCTATATTTTTCATTTTCCTAAGGAAAATGAGAATATCATTTTCTGAATGGTATTTTTAAATAGTGTTTTGTATATATTTTACTCACAAAATAAAATTCTAGGAAAATCATATTTTTCGAAAAAATTTCAATTTTTTTTTTTAAACATGGATAAATTGGATTACTATCCTCATTTTTCTAATAATCTGAAAATAAACTCTCTACCAAACACTCTCTTAATAATGTAAAAAATCGTTTCAACCAAAGTGTTGGGTGAGAGTCTTTTAATAATTTATATTATTCTCTAACTGCAAAAATCTTTGGGGGGTGTTTGGTAGGGAAGTTTTGATTTGTTGTCTGGAAAAGTGCATATGGGATTTAAAGAAAGCTGTATTTGGTAGGAATATTTGTCCAGGGTTCTAATTTGCATGAAAAAGTGACATTGTGTGTAAATTGAAAGCAAATCACCATTTGAGAATATCACTAAGAGGGTGATATTCTGATTTGCAAGAGAAAGCTGTGTTTGCTTTTATTTTCAATTTTTTTTCAGCTTTATAAAAAAAAATTACTCTTTAGACAAGGATTACTTTCCTAATTTCTCCCCATTTTTTCAATAATATTTTATCTTTAATAAAAAATCTGAAATAATATTTCTAAAAGTTAATTTACATATATTTGAAGGGGCAGACGCTCTAGCTAGCCCCTCCCTCCCTCCACTATTTTAAAGCAAACAACCTACATTTTTGAGATGTTGAAACGCTGGTTAGGAGCTAACTCTGTAGCTTATCATTTTACTATATACAGGCTATTCAAATTACCAATCCATGATGTGGAATTCTTCTCCATAATTAATGTCACTTACTATATTTTATGCCGCAACTGTAGAATAAAGCGCAAGTAGGACTCCAACAAATCCATATCCATATTTCAGTCAATATACATCATTTTGTTTTATAAAAAAGTATTTTATAAAAAGTACTAGTCCAACGATCAATTAATTCTTTTT